CGTGGATGCTGCTGAGAGGTGCCAGCCAGCCTCATGAGAGTCACACTTCATTTGGCTCTGTGCTCAGTACCCTTTTTATAGAAACTAGAGATAAGTGACAGGTCTCTAGGTTAAGCCCTTATATTATCTGTTAATAAGGAAGGGTTTATTAAAAGTAAATTTCTGAATTTGTATCATCTTTGAAAAAAGCATCTTAAAATTCTGTCTTTGTATGAAACCATTCCTTTCTTGGATTGCCACAAAAATCATCGTTATTTTTAGCTAATATTTATTGAGTGGTTATTATACGCTAGACATTCTAAGTGTTTCATTAAAAAACTTATGAAGGTATAATTTACATACAATGGAATGTACCTGTTTTAAGTGTATATAGTTCATTGAATTTTGACAAAAATTCAATGTAACCAACAAACAGATGTAAGAATTTCCATTACAACAAAAACTTCCCTCATACCGTTACAGTCCATCCCTTCTCCTCACCTGTGGTCCCTGGCAGGTACTGATCTGTTTTCTGTCGTCATGTTTTTCTTTTTCTACAACTTCATATAAAAGGAATCCTGTAGTACATAGTTTTTTGTATGTGGCATCTTTCACATAGCCTAATACTTTTGAGATTTATCTATGCTGTATCAATATGTCGGGTCTTTTTTATTACTGAGTAGTAATCCATGTAAAGAGTGTAATCTATCGCAATGGTAACACAATCTATGTTGTCACCAGCCCTTTCTTCCACATGTGACTCTACTGAATTCTGTAGTAGACTTCCAAGAACACTGTTGTAATCATCCTAGCCAACACGAAGAGGAAAAGAGGTCACAGGCAGGAGAATTTTGGGCTAGACTGAAAATTCTGTGCACATTCTTTTCTGCTCACCAAGAACCACGAGGGTGGCCGGGGAATGCAGTTGTGCTCAGGAAGAAGAATAAACAGGTGCGAGAAGCATCCATCAGAAAGTTATTAATGCAAGATTTCAGGCGTTGCAAAAAAATTCCATTCTTTTTAGAAATGAAAAATATATGGAACGAGAAATGGGAGAGAAAATAATAGAATGACAGTTGCTTCTCAACAAATATACATGACATAATTTAGTATCACATAATTATGCCTCTTATTCTCATTTAGTAAATGAAAAAGCCTCACTTCTAATAACTTAAAAGGATAACTAACATGGATTAAGTATCTGCATTCTGAAATATAATGTAATAGATATTTAATAGGCCTAGTTTCATATTTTACATTAACTCTGGAAAATAACTATTATCATCTTTATATCTCGTATGAGGAAATAGACTAAAATTTTTAAAGTAGATAATTCGAGATCATAGGGCTAAAAGGTATAATACACAGAATTCAAACCTATGTCAATCTCACCTTAAAGGCTGGGAATTTTTATTACATATAAAATCAAGGTGTTATCTTTTAAACCACTGAATTGTTATAACTCCACTCCTAATTGCTTAAAAGGTAGTATTTTTAGTACTCTCTTTACAGACAACATATTCTACATCTCACATATTTTAGATCGCATTATAGATCTGTCTGAAATTATAGACTATGGATCGAAGGATATAAAGCAATATAATATGAACATATAACATGAGACCAAACAGTATTGTTTTATGAGGAAGCATTTTTTTTGGGAAGCATTTTTGAAGGCATTAAAAAAGAACTTTAGATATAGAATATATAAATTTTGTCAGCCAAAAGCCACACATACTTCTTGAAAGGCTAGGTTGTAGAAAAATCTTTTGGAAGCCAAAATATTCTTTTCAAAATATTCTTTTCAGACACACAAGCATACCTTTAGTTTATTGCCCGTGCATTTTGTCTGACACATTACTCAGTGTCACTCAGGGCTTGGGAAGATATTTTTGATTCAATAGTAATTACTCTGGAGGTGATGAGATCTGAAGGTTCTGCAGATGGGTACTTTGATGGAAGAACCATTTACTTTTAGAAAGCAACGTTGCTAGAAAATGGATACATTTAGAAGTAAATTGCAAATCAAACGACCCCAGTTTTGACTCATTGTTAATGAGCAAAATATCCAGAAACTTCTACTGCCGGGATCTTAAAATCATGTAGGTAAGTAAGCATTGGAAAGGCCATTATTTTTTTAGTCTTAGCAGAGAGCTAACTTAGGCTCAAACTTCATTTTTGATGTAACCATTTTTACAGGTTTTTTTTTTTTTTTTTTTTGACACAGCATGTCAAAATGGCTACCTCAAAATGTAAGGAACAAGGGGAAGAGGAGATAAATTTGAGAATATTCTGGAAGTGATAATCAACGAGGCTTGTAAATTAATTGGATATTATAGGCAGCAAAAGAGAAGGGAGGAGAAAGAATCACAGGTTAGATCCAGGTTTCTAGCTTAGGTGACCACGCGATCTCGGTGCCAGCAAATGAGATGGGGAACACGGGAGGAGGAAGAGTGGGCTTCTGGGTGGGGGTGAGAGTTAGTCCGTTTTTAGATATTGATGAATTTGAACTCACTGTGGAACATTAACGTGGAACTATTTCCAGGTGTTAGAAATAGTCTTAAAGTGTGAGAGACGTTTTATAGCTGGAGATAAAGTTTTTGAGAGTCATCAGCATTAAGTAATGAGAATGGCGGAAATTACCTTGGGGGAAGATGTGGGAAACATGGGTTAAAAGTAGAATTTACGGGATCACTAACATTTTAGGGGTAGATGCAGGAAGAGATAGCCTGGCTAATGGATCTGCAGAAAAATGATTTCAACAGGAGAAGGACTCAGAGTATAGTAGATAGTACGCTGAGCACTCAGAGTATAGTAGGTAGTACGCTGAGGAGTGGAGACTGGCCAGGAGGATGGGGTGGGCAGTGCCATCAGACAGAACATCGATGTTCAACGTGATGAGGACCGAAAATCGCTAATAGGGTTTGGTAAATTTGAGAGGCTACTGAACCCCTATGGAGGAGGTGTTCATGAAGCTGGGAAAGGATTGAGGATTGTTTAGAGATGGGGAAGGGGAGGACAGTGTTTTATTTTTTTTTTTAAAGAAGGTTGATGAGAAGAAGAGGAAAAAGGTTAGGCTGAAAACACGGGGTCATATCGGGCCAAGAAAGGGCATTTTTGGAGTGTAAGAGATTTGAGCTTATCTGTAGTTGGAAAGGGAGAGCTAAAAATAGAGAAGCATAACCTGCCCGGCCCTGAACCACGCAGTGAGCCCCTGACGTGCCTCTGTGTCTTTGCAAACGCCATCACTCTGCTTTGAGGCATTTTCCACTTATGTTCACCTGAGTAAGCTCTTCAACAAAGGCATGTTAACAGCCAAAAGAAAATAGTAATTTTAGCATAGGGCAGTTTCTATACTTAGAAATGTTTCAAAATATTTTCGATGACATTTTCAGTAAGTTGCTCAAGCAAATTGCATTAAAATGTATTTAATGCAGATTGGCAGAGTGAGGAGCTTGGCAAGTCCACTTATCAAAAATCAATGGTGAAAGTCGATAAAGTTGTCAAAAAGCAGTCAGTTTAGAACTTGAGAAAGTGACTAAAATGGTTTTAAAAAATCGAGAGGCATTTATTCAAGAAAAACTACTGAACCCGTGAGAACAGTCTGGGCTGTTCTAGCCCCCGAGGCCTCTCCAGACTGCTCATTCCCACCGCTGATTGTCACGCAGTTTGACCAGGCCGGCGAGCTGTGAAATTAGTGGCTTTGCTGCAGCTGCTGGAAGGGGCTCACTGCATTTGGAGCAAAAGCAGAAAGACCTCATATCTCCAGAACGGTGTTGGAAATGGCAGTGATTTTTGTGGCAAAAGAATGGGAAGGCCAGTACGTAGCCAGTAGCAGGCGGTCGTAATTCTGATTGGGAAAAGCATGGCGTGGCCAGAGTTTTAGCCAGGAGTCTCAGGAATGACTGGCCTTCTTAAGGTCCTGTGTGTCGCTGGTGGTCTGGAAGGCTGTACACGTGTCAAGGCTGTGCGCACACTCAGGAGAGCTCAGCGGTGGCCCTCGCTCGTCACACGTCTGTGCTGGACGTGAGGCCTTGCAGGTGTGTGGTGGAGATGTGTCTCCAGAATCCTCTCTTCCGAGTGGCTTGGCATTTTTCTTTTTTATTCCACCTGTGTTTCAGGTGCAGTAAATGGCTGAAGGCCTCATTCTCCCACATCCGGGCCTTAGTCTCCCTGAATCTAGCTAGAATCTAGTCACTGAGAATCGACCTCTCTCTGGCCCTGTCGTTTCTTGCCCTGGGTTATGGCAGTGCCTCCTAACTGGTCTCTCGCCGGGCACGCTTGTCCCCGTCCTCCTCGTCTACGTCGCACACACCAGCTGTAGTCATCCTTTTGAAATTTGTCAGTGACTTCTCTTCTCGAGACCCTCTGTTGGCTGCTTGTTGCCTTCAGCCAGACTTCTTCTACCCTGGCTTATGAGGCCTTATGCGATCTTGCTGTCTGATTTTGACCTTTCTGACTTTATTTCCTACCACTCCCTGTCTCACAAATCCCACACTTGTCCTTTAGCCGTCTGCAAACATGCCAGGTGTGCTCTCGTGCTTTTGTGCTATTGCACGTGACGTTT